GTGATTCCACTAGGCAAACATATTGTTCCTGTACCACCTGGGGAGAATCTTGCCTATTTGAACCATATTCTTTTAAAAAGTACTGTATAGGAAAGTAAGTTAAATGAAAGTTGGGAAGGGGTGGGGAACAACAAGCAAAGTCTACAGGATAACCTAACAAATTAGGATCACAAAAAAATTAACAAATGTTAATTAAGAGCAATAGGACTCTGTGTGGATAGTTGACAATCTGATAAATTAGAATAATTAGGATTGGATATTAAACATAATTTAGCTAGTAGTAATATGGTGGTTATATAAAAGTACATGTTCTTATCAGAGATGTACAATGAAGTATTTGTGGTGTGATCAGTGTGTGGGATTTGCTTTCAAATACAGGAAGAAAGGGGGTGATGGAACAAATTTGGAAAAATGCTGACAATTGTTGAAACTGGATGATGGCTATATGGGGGTTATTACACTTTTCTACTTGTTAAAATTTTCTACAATAAAAAAATTATATATTTAAAAAGCAGAGTTCTAAAATCTGGTTGATGAGCAAAATCTACTATAGCTTGAAAAAAAAGATTCTGGGGGCTGCACAGTTCTCTGGCATCAATCCTCTGAGTACATTTGTATGGTGGCACAGGAGGTGGGTGTGGGGGATGGGTGGACAGGGGAGGGGAGGGGGAGGAGAGAGAATTTCCAGGCCAATCCTGTTGCCGTCACAGTGATGGGATACCTCTTTTAAGATCTGACTCCTTTTTCCCTCCTAGCTCATTCTCTCCTTCCTTTCTCTCGTCTCCTTCCTTGTTTTTTCTTGTCTTGCTTTATGGAGGCTTAGGGCAGAAACCTTTGGGGGAGTAAAAGTACTAGCATCTCACTGGAACAGGCAAGCCATCCCCAATCCCATCTGGGGCTTGGTGTCCTCACTCTTCAAACAGACACCCAACTTTCATGCTGCTGTTATTTTTATGATGTTCTCTCACTACCCATGGGTGAGAGGTGCAGCCACTGCCAGGTCAGCAACAAAATAAGGTTGTTTGAGAAGTGTGGTCTTAATAGTTAGGTTTTTCCATTCACTATTTGTAAATAGGAAACATTAAAATTTGTTCTTAAATAATTTATTTAATATTATTTTTTGTGAAAAGTTACATTTTGGGAAAACTTGAAGAAATTCAACCGTAGGTAAACAGTATTCTGTAAGGAACAACTACATGTGCAAATTTCAAATGCTTTCTAAAGTATAAATAAAATCATTTTTTCACATTAAGAATGAAAGTATTGATACACACAAAATAGTAAAATAACAACTTTAAGGAAACTAGATGAAAACACTGAAGTTTATTTGAATTTTTAGAGCTAGATTATAAAGATGGATGATAGGGAAAAGGATTCAAGGCGCTGTGAGTGGAAACATGTCAGCTAATGTGGTAAAGGTGATGGACTTAGAGATGGCAAATACCTTCAGGGCCGAGTCCAGCCCACAAAAAGAAAATGGCAGCCTTTACCTCTGGGGACAGTACGTTTCCCTTCCCTTCCTTCCTTTTTTTCCGCCCCCTCCCCCACCCCTCCCCTCCCCCAGAAAAAGTATGACAGTCACACAAAGCACAGAAGAGAAAATGCAGGCCAAAGACAGAAATAAATTTCCTCTCACTTACGGTGACAGGATTTTGCACATCCCAATGCTACGTGCCATGGACACTGGGCACTGCCCAGCACCCCAGGACGCCACATCAGCACAGCAAGTAAAACAGTGACAAAAGTCACATCTTTTTCTGTGACTTTCTCTAATTTTATCCCTGCCCCTTCCCAGTCTTAGCACTAAGGAGGTAGGATACTCAGAGGAGATTACATATCACAGAAAGCAGTTTCTTATTAATGGCCACAAGTGGTTCTGGCCAAAGTTTCATTAAGAAGAAGCATGAGATGTTAATGAATCTACTAGTGATGAAATTCCTTCTTGCCTATGGAAGGCAACCAAAGGCCATCCAAGAGGCGGATTCTCCCAATGGCAGGGACTCACCTGATTCCATAACATCTCCCAAAGCAACTATATGCCAGCCTAAGAAGATACCAGAATGTTTTCTACAAAGCAGAAGAAACATCTTCATTTAAATATTTAAGTTTGCAATAAAATAAATAAAGTTTATATAATACAACAAGGCAGCTGGTTGAGTTCATACAAACTGTATGTTGCCCAACAACAACCAGAAAATAGGTTATTATTATCTTCCTACTTCTAGGGCAGCATTTTAACATCATAAAAAAATTCCCTCATACATAAGGGATATTTATGCACACCTTAGTTCAAGCTAGCCTCTTTAGAAGTGAAGGCAGGTCTAACCAAGAGTCACAGATCTCATTAAAATGTTCTGATTTTAAAAGGTGCATATTTTAAAGAGCAGCTTGTTTGCTTTTTAAGCTTGTGCAGTCTCAGCAGCCTCAGAATCACAGTGCATGATGGTTCTGTTTCTGCCGTGTCCATGGGAAAGGAATCAGGCAGTTTGGGAAAAACCACTAACTTCTGAAACTCCGAAGATGTCCATTTTCCCTGAGCTTCCAACTTGTGGCAGCCGGCTGAGGATTGAGCATCACCTCTGAGAAACACGAAGGATGGCAGGTACAAGGGCTCTGGGTTCCCAGCCCACCTGACAGGTGTGTCTTTTCCCTTTTCTCAAAAGACGATGAGGCAGTCGTGGCAGGCACGCTACGTCCATAAAGTTCCCAGCCTTCTGCTTGGTAGGAGAGGGGGAGCACCGGCTGTAGGCTGACACCATCCATTGCCAGTCTCAAGCTCTGCTCTCAGGCCACTTGGGACTATCCCCTGGTCACCATGTCCAGGGCCATGATGAAGAGCTCATCCTTTTCTCCCTGGCTCAAAGACACCCTCCAGCCCAACGGTGGCATCCAAGTGTTAGAGTATAGCACCACATAGGCTAATGCCTCCAGGCCCCACTTCGCCGGGGCTGGCCCACCTGCTAGCCGTACATCTGCTTGAACTGAAAGCACTCGTTGCAGTAGCCGTTACACCTGGTGTTGCCGAAGTGATCGCAGGCAGGGGCCCGGCAGCGCTGTTTGGGAGGCTCTTCGGTGGGGACAGGCTCACCCCGGTGGCCCCCTGGGCCCACCCGCTGGCACTCCATGCAGAGTTCCTCGTTGCGGCAGGCCAGGATGTTCTTGCAGGAGGCCCGGGCGCATTTGGGCCTGGAGGTGTTCTGTGCAGCCCGAGGCAGGTCTCTAAGTTGGCTGTATCTCTGAGTGGAAAAAGGGAGACATATCAGTCACGATTCTCAGAGCAGAGTATGTCATCTCATCTGACAGCATGAAGTTCACAAAGAGCTGGGTGGTGAAAAATACTTGCCTGACCAAGGGCAGGAGAGTTTCAGGAGCATGAGGAGCATGAGGTCTGCAAGGACTTTCTCCCAAACCCAGTAAAAGCAGACAAGGTCTGGGGGAGGCCCAGCGGAATCACCCATCCTAACAGACCTGTAAACATTGGCCCAGCTTGCCTCTCTGTGCATTACTAATAGATAGGTTTCCCCACTGTTCTGTTAATAGTAAGAGAGGCATCTATGAACCAAAGTTTGCTGTTTTTAAGGTGCCATCAAGTGGAGGCACCTGAGATGCTCTGCATTCTCCTTCTCGTGATACAGGATTATTTAAGAAAATCGTCTGGCCACTTAGGTGCCTCTGCTTCTACCACAAATCCAAGAAGTCTCTGATGTTTTAAAAGGCTTTAGTCTCTGGCTGATTTCATTTGTCTTTTGCAATGAATTCCCAAGTATCCTCAGGCCATGACAATCAACAGCAGCTGTTGTACTTCCAACCCTGGAGACTACAGTGACTTCCCCAGGTTCTTCCCCAGAACTTGGCAGGGAGGAAAGTCTGCTAATCAGTGTTAGAAACCGCTCCAGCAAAGAGCTGCCCACAGGAGAGGGGAAATACCCTAAAATGTCTTACCAGTTTCTCTTCAGTCCTTTTTGCTTCAAGAAATCTCTGATTCTGGGCTTCAATGAAACACTTCTGACAGTATCCTTCAAACACAGTGCTTCCCAGGCTGCCGCACTCCCTCCCCAGGCAGGGCACCATGTTTGGGAACCTGGGGGCTGTCAGGCTGGCTGTCCCAGAAGCAGTGACAAAGCCTAGAAGAGAGTGGATGCAAGTCAGTACCATAGAAGGGCCCCAGGAGATACAGACAGTGGCATTAGAGGGAGGAAACGAGGTTCCAGCCACGGATTAGGCCAGTCTTCACATCTTCATGTGATACTCTTCCATAAATCCAGCAAAATATAAAACAGGAAGACTAATTACTGAAACAACTCTGGCTTCACAAATCTCTCTCCCTGGAAAATACCACGCTGGAACATCACAGTAACAAAACAGGCCTAAACTGTCTGTTCTTGTGAATTAGAGATTTCCAAAACGTCAAATGTTTTCTTATACTGACCATGGAGACATCCCTTTCTCCAGCAACAGATCTCCAGGTTTTGAGAGCTGTGGTAGCCTAGTACAAACTCATCCTGATTAATGCCAGATACTGAATGACCTCCCAGGAAAACACTCCCATGACCTCTGTCTACCTGGGTGTGAGGATATGCTATTTTGTGCTCTTTACTGCCATGTGTGTCCGGCACGGTCACTGTCCCTCTGTGCAAATCACATTCTACAGACTGTCTAGAGGGGGCTCTTTTATTGAAATTTAGGAAGAAAACCCTCTTTAAATGGGAGTCTTGAAACAGGGGTTAGGAAACCAATGGTTTCACTCACGTTTATTTTCTCTGTATTCGATGAAACACAGTGTGCAGAAGCCCTGGTTTTCTGGAGTCCCAAAATACATGCAGCCGGCTTTTCTGCATTTGCTCGTCCCTTTCCGGTCCCCAGGAGTCCGTGCGGCCTGAGAGAGGCAGCCAGAGGAGGCCTCGTTCCCAGTTCTGTGGCAAGAATGTGGGGAGGGGCTCTGGATAAGCTGTGAGGGGTCCGACTTGGACCTCTGGTGGCAGGAGGGGGGAATGCTGGAGCTGAGGTTGGAGGAGGGCTCGGCCTTAGTCCTTTTGAAGCAAGTACTGCAGATTCCATTAAAAGTCCTTGTGACATCCTGGAGGCAGGCTTGGCACTTACCAGGATGCAACTGCCTCGTGTTGTCTGAGTTGCGGCTGGAATTGAGTTGCCGGGCATTGTGGCAGCGCTCACAGAATCCATTGTGCTGCACGTTCAGTGTGAAGGGACAGCCAGGGCTCCTGCACTTCATGGCTGTGGTCTCACTGAACAGGAAAAGGCTGGGTGCAGTTGGTGGGGCCGAATGAGGACCCCCAGTGGGCTCCTCAGGGTTCCAGGCCAAGGGCTCGTAGGCCTCACCCCGAGCGGCCCCAAGTGCCAAGCCAGGCAGCGCCTCCGGGCCAGGCTTGGCATTCACCTTTGTGGATTTGTTTTGGTTCTTTTTCCGTCTCTCTGAGCACTCGTGGCACAAAGGCTGGGTGTTCACTGACATGAAGAAAGGACAGTTGGGAGTTTCACATTTTACGTCCATGAGGGAAAGCTGGGGAACGGAGGGTTCCAAAGGATTCAGAGCACGCGTCTCTCTTCGCCCCGGTTCGTTGTTTTCCTGCCACTTCTTGTACTCGTGCTGGACAAGTTCAAAGTAGTCATCTACCAGGTTTATTTCTTTTGGTAAGTTAGCTTCATCCAACCTAAAGATCAAAAGGAAAAATGTGAGACTATACACACACACACACGATTTTGCATCATTACCACATCAGGCAAACTCTTAGAATGTGGATCATGCAATAATTTTATAACTACTCACTGAAATGATAAAGAGTTTATAGCTCATATAACATAGGCTAATACATTTGCTTACATGTTTTAGATGAAAATAATGTAAGTTCATCTGCTAAGAAGACTTGTTCTTTTCAGTATCCCAGTCTCACTGAATCCACCTTGATCCTCCTCCACATTATAGATAATTCTAAAGAAAAGGCTACTCTGGCACTGTCTCTGTATCTTATTACTTGATCCGTCTTTTGAAAAGACATTTTCACTTTCTACCTTCTCAGAGATCCAAATTCTAGTAAAAGACTGCTCAGGGTGTTCATTGGGGACAAGAGTACTTTGTGGTATAAACTATGTTGGAATGTTGTGTTCTGTATTTTGCTGTTTTTATTTTTAAGCTTGTGCCTGGTCTCTAGGATCATTAACTACCAGGTGCAGTAACTAAGAGGCAGATGCACCCAGAGGTGCTATCTATTTACTTTGAACTCTCTGTAATTTGTTAACCTCCACTTTGAGAAACTGATTCTCTTGTGCCTTTCTGGTGCATTCCAAGTTATAAGAAACAGCCATCTCTTTAACATGAAACCAGCATCTAAAATTGAGACCTCTGTGTGAACTGTGCTCTGGATCTCTCCTCCCCTTTCCAGGTGGCAAAACCCTGTGACTGCCACACAAACACCTTCTCTAATTCAATCTGTGTCTGACATGTCTGCCCTTACCAAGAAACCAGGAGAAAAAGCTTCTGTGTCCAAGAATTTACATATGTTGGTCTAGCACTAGGGCAACTGAAAACAAAACAAAACAAACAAACAAAAAACAACTCTCCTAGATGCAAACACGCTTTCGTAAAGCTATCATGCTGACTCTCAGCACCCAGATGTGCAGGGAACTCATCATAGATGAATTACTTGCTGCCATTCACAGGCGGAGTCAGGCTTGGCTAAAGTAAAGGCTTCTCAAGCTTGTGCATGAGCCTCTGAAATTGGTTCAGATCAGAGGGAATTGGCTTCAACTAACTTTGCTGTGGAGCTCTGGTGTGGCAATAGCTTATGTGCTGAAATCAAAACAGTTAAAGCGACAAAGGAGTGACAAAGGATAGAGCTAAAAATAAACTGCTTACTTTGCAGCATTGATCAAATGTGGTGCCATGTTCCCAGCCTGGGACGGGGATTTCTATCACTGTCAAGTACTCCTTTAAGAGCTTTTCCTTCATCTCATTCTCAGGATCTGTTAAAAAGTGAACTTTAAAGTCTTCAAATCGCCCTCGGTCTTTGTTAACAAGTGGAACGGCTCGGATTTCTGAGGGAAAAAAGTAACAAACACGTAAGCAAAATATTCTTCTAATAAAAAATAATATGTGAGGCCATATATAATGGTTAACTTTTGAAAACACGGAAAGAATACAATTAAAGAATGGAAGCATCTTATTTAGCCATACTCAAGCTCAAATGGGGAAAAGAGCTGCACTGAGTTGTAAAAATAAAATGCACTATTTCCAGGAAGCCCAGAGAATATTCATCAGCCAGAGGCAGCAGATCTTGTAATTATATTCCCACATCTTAGAATCAGATCAAGCTGAGTATGAATGCTGACTGAGCTGATATAAAGTGCGGGACCCTCTGGCAAGTTCTCTGTACTTCAACTGCTCATGTGTAAAATAAGGCTGCCCACAATTACATCCCACAAGGATGAAATAACATATCTAAAGCACTCAGGAGCACCATGCATCCTGCATATTAAGCTATTACAATATGAGCTAACATTTACCTGCTCTGTGCCAGGCACTGTATTAAGGGCTTGATGTGTCTTCCTTTGTCATATATAATACTGAGGGTATATATGTAATATATGTATATATTATCTGAATACACACACACACACACATTTCTTCCACTCACAATTATTGGCTGAAAATACTTTCCAAGCCATATATAAAAGATAGGAGAGTATTATGATTACTGCTATTGCACACTCATTGCTAACCACGTAAATGACAGGATACTATATATGTAAATGAAATAATGACTTAAATCATACTATTTCAATAAAGAGCAAAAGAGCAGACTGTGATGCTTAGTGGGAACCAGGTAGACCAGTAGCTAACAGAGGGCACAGATATGAATTGGTTTTCAGTTTTCTCACCAGCACCACTGTCCTTCAGAGTCACCAGAGGCACAAAGTGTTGGCTGTCATAGCCGAGGACGATGGGGTATCTGTAGCACTCCTGGGCAGGCCAGTGGAGAGGCAAGTAAATCCCGCCCACCTTCAATGGAGCGATATTTGAACCCGATTCCAAACTTCTCAGCATTTTGTCTGCTTAAGGCAAGAGAAATCATTAGGACTTCTATCAAATTCCATTTAGCTACAGTACCTGTAATTTTAGTAACATGGGTTTTTCAAAAGCTTAACATTAAATTTGAAAGGCACTTAAATAAGACAAATATCTCACCTGAAATTACAATAATAGGCCTTCTGAGGACGTTGCAAAGGACAAATATATGTATTTCTTCTAGGGAATTATACTGAAGTCCACTTCGGGCCACGGGGTATCTGTGGATGCCATCTTGATAAGGTTTTCCCATTCCTCAGCCCAGTTCTAAGGAGAAGAGAAGGGTTAAAGGAAACTGAATGCCTTCTGCATTAAGCAATCATTCTGACTTGGGTCTCTAATTATTCATTTCTATAACTCAGCTTATTTTCCCCCTTTCTCGAAATCATCACTCAAATGATCACCATTTTTTCCCCATTTTGATTTTCTTCCTTTACTTTTTTCCACTACAAGGCAAAGTCAAAAGTGGGGGAGGGTGGGGACAGCACCTGCTTTCAGAAAAATCCCTGATGAGGCATGATATCGATGCCCCTCATCCAAATGTACACAAAAATTTCAAACGTGTGACTGAGATCTCCCGGAAGGCTCATGACTGAGACTGAGTGGCTGACCCAGTAAAGCATATGATGAACAAGTGAACCGAAAAATAGCCAAACACCACAGGAAAGGCCCTCACCAGCAGCTCTTTTGCAAAAACAAAGCGATCCAAAGCTGAGGACCTGCTGCCCTGAAGCTTCCCAGCAGGGACAAAAGCCTCAGGTTCACCCACAGGTTTCTGGTGTTTTCTGTTGACGAGGTTTGCTAGCCAAGTTCATGTGAGCTAATACATGTTCCATGAAAGCAAGGGCCAGCCTCTGGGACTCTTTCCTTGGGGTGAAGATGTCAATAGATGCTTAATGGAGAGACAAAACATACCCGTGTATCATAGCAAAGCCCCGTTTCCACAAATTCCTGAGACTTGAGAGACTCCAGTTGCCAGCGGAATTTGAAATTGCGCGTGTCCGTCTCCTTGAGTGTGCTGAAGAGTGCCTTTCTCAGGACGAGGTCTGTGTCCTGAACACCCCACATGTACTGAGAAGCAGCATGCATGAGGCAGTTTCCATCTCCTGAGGACAGAAGGGAAGCAAATTCAAGCAAATCACAGCTATGTGATCAAGCAAAGGTTTTCATAGAGCACACTAGCCCTAATGCTAATCTAGGGGACCCAATAAGGCATGCAAGAAATGCAAACGGTTTAATGTCTTAGTCCAAAGGCCAAGGAATAACATTTCCCAAGGTGATGACAGCTTTAAGGGCAAAAAAATTCATTCTTTTCATTCTTACTTTTAATGAACAAGATCAACAGGGCACAGAGAATAAACAGGACCATGGCTCCACCCTGGCTCTGGTAACTAATATCGGTAAACTTCGGGGAAAGTGCTTAACCTTTCTGAGTAATTTTCCTTTGTAAAGTGAGGACACACGCCTCCCCGGAGGCGCAGCAGTTGAGCGCTGGATTGCGAAACTGCCCGCAGCCTCTGCAGCGCCGGTTCGATCCCCGGCTGCTCCCCGGCCACCAGAGGAGGGTCCCACATGGCGCGCAGACCTCTCCTGCCGCCCGCTGCTCCCCTCAGCAGTGTACTTCATCAATCTGCCTGCTCTGCTCTCCGCTCTGACTCTGGTGAATTCTCTTACCCTCCCGCGCTTCTGACTATACCTAGTGCTTGTATAAATAAATTAATTAATTAAAAAAAGAAATGCTTTAACCAAAAAAATTAAATAAATAAAGTGAGGACACCGGGTTATGATCTCTGACGTTAAGCCCTTTCTAACATTCCTCGATGTTCTGGCCCAGAAGCTGGTGCCACTGCTTGCTGATTCTAAAGACAGCAGGCAAGGCAACAAGCACCAAGCAGGAAGCCGGCGGGGCTTTGTGTACTAGACAGGGATGGCCGGTATGACTCAGTGCAAATGACTTGACCATTCCACTGTAGCCTTTGGGGCCTGGGAGTTTCCTCTCCTGGTTTGTAAAGTGGGATTGAGATCACCTGATTACCTACACCCGCCCACTCACCAACACCCCCCAGAAATGCTTTATGTCAACCTGCTAGTTAGCAATTACAAGACCTTTTTAAGAATTAGAGTTCTTGGACATCTAAGTTTGAAAACAATTCAGAGTTTAGAGCATTTTAAGAATTTTGCACGAAAGAACTAATTTTTATTCCATTAATGTGTTACTTCCACAGGTTAAAAGCCATAATTCAAGAGACTGCATTTTTTCCAACCTCTAAACAATAAATATTTGGGAGGGATGTTTAATATAACAAAAGTTAATCCCTTAATTTCCTTTGTAGAGAAGACAATTGTTTTTCTCAAGAAAGGTTAAACTTTTGGTGTACTGGTTAGCATTCTGGATTCTGAATCCAGCAATCATGTATTACTCTGTAAGCAGGACAATAAAGCCTTTTGAAATGTTATCCAATTGTAATTATAATCAAACTGTAAAAATACAAAACAAAAAAAACCTCCTTCCAAAATATATCCAAAGCTGGTATCCTGTCAATTTATACATGTAGAAAACAGGCTAATTAAGTATTCAAGCAAATGAACAAAAAAGATCACTCCAGCCTGGTGTCTTGGCAGAAATGTGGCAATGATTACATTCTGTTGAAATTTCCCCTTTGCAAAATCTAGAGCAAAGATAAGGCTTTTTTTCTTCTTCTTGTGCTTACTTTCAGTTCTTTATTGAGATGCACAAGTACAAAATTCCCTAAGTAACATCTGGAATTCCCCAGTGCTAAGTTATTTGACTAGCAATTGAGCAACAGTATTGTACTTTTTGTTCTGGTGTGTAGACATTTAAACTGCGAAGTGCACCCTGGACTTTCCAAGTGGGTGTGGCCAGGGTGAGCTGGAATAGGGCTACTCATTATACAAGTGAAATCGCTGCAGCCAATAGACGCTGGAATTTTTCAAACGAAGTTTCAATTTTATGCCACCTACTCCCTTCCTCATTCACAGCAGTCTCATATCCTCAAATGCAAACTTGTGAATCACCCCCTCCCCAAACAGACCACTGACCGTAGAACCCTCCTATCAGGGAAGGCTTAGGGGAAAAAAATGCTCATAAAAATCAAAGAGGAAATGTTTTTCCCCTTCACTAAATATCATGTTTTCCTTTTCCAGATTTTTATGGAATTTTCTTGAAAGTGGGGAAATAAAAAAAATTCTGAGCCTAAAAATCCCTATTTCCCAGAAAATGTTACCAATATACTGGCCTTTCAAGTGTTGTTTGTATCATGAATCCTTGACAATTTAAATGACATATCCTTGCAGAGCAAGTATTTACCATTTATATTTCTTTTTTTTTTTCTTAAGGAATTGAGCAAGTTAAACATAACATTCCAGCTAATTCTGTTAATGATAATAAGGGTTTCCTCGAGCTACCACAAGTGGCAGACTCTTCCAGGCAAATACAAAATTATACTTCTAACTCTCCCAGACTGAGTTCTCTTTTTTGGTAACAAAATGGGAGAGAGTTAAAAACCACAAACTGTCAGGAATATAAACTCCTTGATGATAACTTAACATAATTACCTACTTCCAGGCATCACTTGATTCAATGCCAAGAACAATATAAACAGCTATCCCCAGTTTTCTTTCTGTGCTTCTAAGAATTTGTGTTTCAAAAATAAAAGCAAGATATTGAGGTGATGCACAAGACACCGTAGAACCAAAACAAAACAAAACAAACCATGTCCCCGTATTCACCCCCCATTCCAAGTTACCTCAGTCAAAAATGACCAGAGTTAATGTACTAATTAGGTTAATTAACTTAATGTTCTTATCATCTCATTGTCCACAAGGATTTTCTGCACTTGGCTGTATTATTTTGATTGGGAGGGTTTAGGACTGTCACTGACCTGATAGTCCTTGAAGCCTTTAATGGACCTTGGTCAGCTATGTATTCATAATTAGCTAACGTCTATAGAGCAGAATTTTGTACCTGCATGAAATAGTATGCTTGAGTGTTTCTATGCTGTACATACTCTTGCTCAGAGGAAACAATTAAAAACAAACAGTCAAGCTTAGAACAGGAAATAGCTACTAGCGGTAAAGGGTTATTGAACAGACAGGCACAGACAGCAAGTAGGAATCCCTAAAAACAATGAAGTAGAGGTGGTCTAAAAAACTCTGTGCTAAAAAAACTCAAATATTTTCCTACTTCATAGCATCAGACCATAGGTAACTGAACCTAGACGGGAGACAACGTCCTTAATAGCCATTCACTGGTTAATCCATAAATTGCTACCAATTCAAGAAGCCATCATCCAGAAATACTAGTTCACACCACGCTTTCTTTCGAACATAAAGCCTTTAATTTATTTATTGTTAAAACCCTTTAATAGTTCCATTACTGACTAGGGAAGGGTATTTTACAGACGATTTAGCAATTGCAAGAACACACATAAATCACCCAAGGGGAGCAAGGTGTTCACAAGCACATCTCCCAAGTGTCAATACACTCTGCTCTACTATACACAACTAGAAAGGACTCTCATTAAAATCATTCTCGAAACAAACTTGCTTTTATTCCATGAGTTCCCATACCAGGCTGTCCTATACTGAGGTGTCTATGGCTTCAAGGGATTGAGTTTGGGTTCATGCTATTAAAATGGCATGAAGGGAGCAAGGGGGAGGATCCGCGAGGCAGAAGCAGTCTTACCATTGGTTTTCAGGGCCACGAGCTTCCTGACTTCCTGACACCAGTTGAGATTCTTCTGATTTTCCAGGGAGGCCTGGATGTTTCTGTCGATGAGAGCTTTGTGGATGATCTCCCTAAACTGTGGGCAAAACTGGCCAATTCTGAACATTTCCAGGGTGTATCGGTGCATGGATTTAAAATGATGAATGATTCCATTTGTAGGTTTGAAAAAATCTTCTGGAGTTCTTTCTCGTATCTTCACAGCTTTCCGCATATTGCTCAAATACAAAGCCTGAGGAAGGAGCTGCTCAGCCATTGTGCTAGAAAACACCTGAAGAGGAGGGAAAAGACCTATTCCGTTAGTCTGCCTTTGATGCTCGTCCTATATACCTGCCTGCAGGAAAGCCCAGCGTTTGATCTTGTCATTACCCTAATCTGTAGGCAAAAGATCTTAGTCACCTCTACTCCCAGGATACTAGCTGGCCCCAAAGATTAACTCACACTGGACTGTTTTAAGTTACATCACTTTTAAAGATTAGTCTAAACAAGAGAAGGAAGGCGGCAAGTGGGTACTGAGGAGGAGGGGAATAACCCGTGTTTTCAGTAAAGTTTGTCGGGGAGCCAAGCCCGTCTGTCAGCAATAGGTACTGTGCCTTCTAGGCGCCCATCTCAGGCCACTGCCACTATGGTGCTGCCACGGGATTTCAGGAGAGCTGAGCGCCAGTTTCAGGCACCAAGTAGCCATGACGAGCATAGCTCCTCCCCTAAGACCACCCACAAGCAATCCCTGCTCTCAGGCAAGTCTTTTTTTGTCTCTTTAAGCACAGTCTTCCTAAACTGGAAGACAGCAAATATCTGGGAAAAGCCCTGTAACTTTTTGCTGTCCCCTAGGCTGCTGAAGAGCATAACCTCTTTTGCCCAAAAAGAAATCTCAATAAAGAGTTTATTTATAAAAGTTATTACAGTATTTACTAAAAACTACAGCCAAAGGTTTATAATCGACCAAAAGCCTATTTCCAGCACAATGCTTTGTCATTTTGAGAGCAAACTTAGTAGTCAAGAACTAAGTTCTTTCAAAAACTTGCCAATGACCTTTACAGCATCAGAATGAAAAACAGAATAAAAAGAATAGAGCAGTAGATTCTCATCTCCAGGAGAAGACATTGGAACTCAGTTGTTTCAACTCAACTGTCAAGCAAATTGTATTATCATCTTGCAGGTACCAACACTCAGATGCATTTCCCACTGCATCTTTACCTGAAATCTTCAAATCAACTGGTGGAAGGAAATGAAATTTGGGAAGCAGACAAAGATGTTATAGCTGAGGCAAGTGAGGAAGAACTGAGGCAAAGATGAACACCTGCAACGCAGGCCAACAGGTGGAATGATGGGACCTGACACTGCGTGGGGTCTCTGCACTGCAGAATGGTGTGGAGGGAGTCAGTTCTCATCCACTGGCCACTAGGAGGATATAGCTTGCCAGACACCCTAAATTCCAAGAGGAAGATGGTTCCAGAGCACAAAGATTTTCCTTGGGAAGTTTCATAGCAACTGTTCATCCCACTCCTGCATCATACTATTGTCAGGGGAAGCCTCCAGTTGAGAAAGCAATTAAGCCTATGAGAGGGAGGCAAAGCCTAGATTCTAGGAAAGCTACTTCTAGGTAGGCAAAGCATCCTAAAGCTATAGATAAAGTTGTCTAAATTCTTGTGACACTTTCAAAGGAGGAAGTTGGGCTAGATGACTCCAAGATCGCTTGAGAGGAATTTTCTGATGGTGGTTTTGGATGGGAAATTCTTAATCTGATTGCTAGGTGAGGCCTAGGATAAATCATTCTTTGGGTCAGTCGGTAATCTCCCCTTTGATGTCATCCATCCCTGAAGGTGGAATTGGACAAAATCACAATAGAACCACAGACGCATGAAGGGACAAAAACTTGGCATGAACACGCACACGTGCACACGCATACTTCTCTGTGGCAGGGCAAAAGTCTCTTTCACAATGTCATTCATTCATTCATGCCCCACCCTCAGACAAGCAGTGCTGAACCACTGCTGAGGGTCCAGCATTGTGCTTGATGCTGTAGCTAAAAATCAAAGGTGACCTTATTCCCATCTTGAAACATGACCATTTTAGTCTGCAATTAAGGACACAGAAGTACAGGC